CAATCAGTGGATTTAATATGAGGCAAGATTTACTTGAAAGCCACAATTTTGAGTCCAAAACTTGAAAATATTTTTGCAGGGTGTCATCAGATAGCCAACTTTTAGATAATAGTTCACTACATGTTGATATCAAAGTTGTCGAGATATCTGTCTGGGCTGAGGATGTCATTGTTTTGAGTGATGGTGATGGAGTGGATGGAGTGGAGGGATTAACAGAAGTTTACCGCGATCGCATGCAAATACTTGTGCAAATACAACCACCATTTTTTTTATTTTTCAATTTTTTGGCGCCCCCCAAAAAATCCAATTGCCTCGCGCCCTAGGCACGTGCCTACCGTGCCTTTTTGGTAAATCGGCCCTAATTGGACGAAGGGCTTTCACGGGTTATCATCTAAACCCACAAAAGGCACATCTAAATAATTGGAGCTTTAAAATTGATACCCAAAATGCCTAGGAAAATAAATATTTAGGGGTCAATGTGCTGAATACAAACATCCAAAAATTCTTTTAATAATATAAATTTCAATGGTATAATATATTTGGGAATTTACCGCTATGCTAAAATCCATTCTGTAAAAAATAATTTTTACTATATTTCAATTTTTTTATATCCCTGGATGCAGATTGAAAATTAAAGTAGTTCTGGGTAAATGGGTAGTAGGGGTATATGTGTGTGTAAGTGTGAAAAAATGTGTGTGTAGGTATGTCAAATTTAATTAAACCATAGGAATTGGGTAGGTAACAATGCTCGGTTGCGGTCATAATATAATCGCATCGTTGGGGTCCGATGCAGTATCAGTGGAACTGGAAGTGTGGTGAGAGGACAGAGAGTGAAGAGTTAAATTAAAAGGGACTGTGTGGTGTACGTGTAGGTACGTGCGCGTGTGCGCTGTAGCGATCCGGCAGCACGGCGTACTCTGTCTAGTGTCTGTACTGCGAGTGCGCCAAGTGCGGGCCGGGCCGCCGGGCGCCGGGCGGGGTGCGCTGCCAGCACTCTCTGGCAGAGAAGGAATAAAACAATTGACGCACGCGCTGTCTTTCGGAGGTGCAGACCAACTAACTGAACCCACGGACCTGGCTCAGCTCCGGCCATTACAATGGGCCCGTATGTATGCGTTGTCTTTTAAGGATTTATAGTCAATGGTCATAGTGAGAACGTTGACCTCTCCAAACAATGAATGGCTTACAATGAGCGAGAAATGGTTCTTAGAAAATTGTCCTTTTATTAATTTGTGTAAGACAAGTTCTTGTTGTGGAAAGTATAAGATAAGTCTTATAACACTTAAAACATATATTTACGCTTATACTGTTACTCACAAGACGGTAAATATACAAAAGAAAGTTCTTGTTGGGCAGCTGAGCTGTTTCCTCATGGCGAAAATATTTTCCAACGATGCTGTGATAGCAGCCATGATATATATTCATTAGCACCTCTTTTTCCAGGAGTGACTGGAGCCTTCGAACCATATAGCAAACTGCCAAAAGGCTCACAGATGTATTATCGATATGTTGGTGCCATCTAAGATCATAACTGATGGTTAGGCCAAGATATTTTACAGAATTGTTAATGTTAATGCTGGACCCTCCTAAGCGCAGTAATGGGCAACAATCGGGCTCTTTTTTACGCCACTGACAAACTAGGAGACCCGATACTGACACTGGCAAACTAGAGAGTATTTTTACAGACACTGGCAAATTAGACAGACCTATTACTGACACTGGTAAACAATACAGACCCATTACTGACACCAGGGGCGTCGCCTAGAATCTGGGAAAGAGAAAAGTTGGGAATTTCCTTGCCACGATTTGGGACAGTTGGGAAGTCAGATACAAGAAAAATATATTTTTAAACTAAACAAAGTTTAAATATTTGCGAAAATCCATCAAAGATAAAAATGTCTTTGACTTGGACAAATAAACTTGACGCTTCTTTGATTTCATTTAACTTTGATTAAACAAGGCTAAACCATGGCTAAACACACCTTATTTTAATAAATCAATAATCAATTAGCGGTATAGCTTGTTGGAATTTCGTTTACGAGAAATTTTGTTCCTTATTGGACTATGTTGGCTACCTTGATCCTGTCCTGTGTTGATGATTCTGAATGATTCGTCTGCGACTGCGAGACTGCGAGTTTGAATTTTGAAAGTGCAAGCGATGTAGCTCTTCAGTTTAACTATGTTGTTTGTTAGTGTTTGCAAGAAATTCAAAAATATTTTTCATGTCAGTCACATGAAATATATTTTATACCTTTTTTGTGGTATTTGGAGCAGGCTAACTGACCGGAGTACTTGCTAATAAGCAGATTAAAATAACATTAAAGATAGGTGTTGTGTATCGGTATTAACTTTAAAACTCTATTTTTTAATAACCTAAATGAAATATTTATTCTCTGAATATATTAAAAAAAAACTACACAAGTTATTTATCATTCCTATAAGGATTTACAAAAATGAATCAACTAATCACTCTGAAACAGATCTACGTAGACAAAACAAAAACATAACCTAAAATTTGATGTTTGACTTTCACTCGTTTGATTTTTGTCTAAGTTCTAGTTTGATGAAGATGAAGGTTAACATTTTTATTGTTTTATCTTTATGTATAAGTTTATTATCAACCAAGTTGAACGTTGTTATTTTATACGAGTCTTATTTTAGGTTTATTCTTTTCTAGACTAGAATAATATTATTCACAACACTGATATTAATATTTCATCATTACAAACTTGTTTAGGCCTACCCTAGTTGTAAGTTTTATGAAAGTTAAAATGTGTTGATCTTAACTTTTTAAAGTATTTTAATTTTATTATTTTGTAATAAAATATTTTTTCTATACTAATTTGTACTAGGCTTACTTTATATCCCTAAAATTTTACACTGCTACGTCTGCTACCACAATGGTTTGTAAAGTTTTTTGGATATGAAACATTACTTGTTCAAGTTTTTTGAAGTCATAAAATTGCATTATGAATTGGTAGACGTTTTAGAAATTGAGTAATTTTGTATATATGTAAAACTAGGTATGTTTTGTTAATAGAAGTTTATTAATAATGAATTGAGTGTGACTGCTGTGTAGTATAATTTGTAGATTTGTAAAAAAAATACAGAAATTGATTTCTAAAAAAAAAAAAAAAAAATAGTTGGGAAATCTATGTTAAGCAGTTGGGAAATTTGAGGCTTCTCCCCCCCCTGGAATTTAACCAAGCAACGCCACTGACTGACACTCGTAAACTAGACAGACCCATCACTTGCACTTGCAAACTAGACATGCCTATTACCAACAATGATAAGCTAGACAGACCCATTACTGACACTGGCAAACTAGACAGACCCATCACTTGCACTTGCAAACTAGACAGACCTATCACTTGCACTTGCAAACTATACAGGCCTATTACCAACACTGATAAGCTAGACTGGATCATACACTGACACTGGTAAACGATACACGCCTATTACTCACACTGAAACACTCAAAACTATAACTATGAAACATATTATAAAGTCAGTGTATTTGACCACTGAAGTATTCACAGACACTGTAGAAAGTTCCGTTCAACTTCAAGGACCTTTTAGACCTCTCCTAAATTTTGTGAAATCTTTTTCAGCCTTCACTTGAGGCAGGAGACTATTGAACTGTTTAACAGAATTGTAGTGGTAGATTCTTTGGGAAAAAAGGGGAAATACTCAGGAATGGGTAAATTTAATATGTTGCAAAATGAATACACCTGGAGTTTATTGTAGAAAAGAAAGAGAAAATACTTTTTTTGAGGATAAAAGATAAAGTTTCTAAGATGTAAACGTATGGGAAAGCTCAAATTTTAAATGATCTGTAATTATCTCTGCATGATTGATGTTTAGGAAGAAAAAACACAATTCGGATTGCCCTTCTCTGAGGCCTAAATAAGAACTAAGTCCTCACGCTCGAGCATCTCCAAAGAGTAACAGCGTTAGTCAGATAAGGATAAATAAACCCATAGTAGGCTGATAATAGGTCATAAGTGGCGGCTGACTGGCTAAGGACTCTCAGCAAGAAGCCATTCACAGATACTTTCTTGCTGACATCTTCTTCAGAAGGAGGGATAGTGGTATCGTTAAGGAGAATGTTGAAGTCCTGGTGGGACTGTTTTGACTGCCGGTTAGAAATACAAAACTGGACGATTTGGGTCTTTTGAGCATTCCAGTTTAGGTGATTTTCCTCACACCACTGAAGAAGAGAATTTGATTCAATAAAGGTGACAAGTTCCTGTTCCTACATACAAGGTTTGGACATAGTTAGGCAAGTGTTGTCCGGAATTTATTGCCCATTCACTAGATGGTAGATGGTAGATTGATGAACAAAAGGAAAAGGATTGGTTCCAGGTCTTACCGCTGTGGCAACCCCTCCTCTCCACAGCTTCAGAAGAGACATAGTTTCTTAATTGGACGTCAATAATCCGCAAACTAGACAGGACTATTGCTGACAAACTAGACGGACTCATTACCTATACTGGTTCTGGAAAACTAGACAGCCCTATTACTGACACTGGCAAACCAGACCAGAAAGGGCTATTTTCTGACACTTGACAAACTAGACAGTTCCATTACTAACTGACAAAATAGACATGCCTATTACTTACACTGGCAAACCAGACAGTACTATTTACTGACATTTGACAAACTATACAGTTCCATTACTAACAGTAGCAAACTAGAGTCGGGACCACATAAGTTTGCAGTTGAGGGAGGAGCCTATTTACCACATGGGTTTGAATGAACCAATGAGAACCGTGCGGTGTTGCCAAATCTAATAATACCAGCTGATTTGAAAACATTGCTTAGTATATTTTATTAGTGCGATGTGTCAACGTCGCACTAGCCTTGTCTTGTGATTGGCTGCCACCAACTGCAAACTTACGTGGTCCCGACTCTAGACAGGCCTATTACTGATTGATATGATTATTTGCTTTCCTTTACACGTATTACTAACACTTACAAGATTTTTTGCTTTGTTTTAGAGTTGCTTGTACATCACTGTCTTCATCAACGGACTGAGAAGAGAAGACGAGGGATTTGTAAGTGGACCTCACGACAGTTGTGAGTTTACCCTCAACTGTCCCATCATACAGAGACAGCTGTGGCACAACCCAGGGACTTACGACCCCATACTCAACCCAACAATGCTGGGGTCATAACTTTATCTGTCTCTTCCAGATTCTCATCCAATGTGATTTTATGTTTAGTGATACATTTTTAAGGTATATACACAGTAGACTCCCTCTCGTTCAGAAAAAAATCCACCTTGTCAACATTAAAAAAAGTGTAAACCATCAGAAGCTAGCAAACATTTTCATAAGTACAGTACAACCAATGAATACAAAGCCTATAAGAAGCACAATGCCTTTGTTTTAAATTCAGTCTGGTAATATTTTAATTTTGAATAGTTCCAGCGGCCAAGTCAGCTGACTGAGTGAGAGAGAATGAGACATAGAATTGGCTTTAAGAGAGAGAGGGATAAAGCCGGGTTTACACGATGCCAGTTGGCGAGACAATTGCCAGGAGACAACTGACTGGCTTGGAATTACTGGCATCGTGTAAACACTTCAGGCCAATTGGCAAGCCAATTGTCCCGCCAACTGTCCCGAAATTCAGTTGTCTCCGGGAGTAGACTGAGGACAATGAGCTGGGCCCAGTGAGGCCCCCACCCCTCGAAAACCCAGTTGTCGTGACAATTGGCACCGTGTAAACGGTGTAGAGGCCAATAGCACTGTCTTTTCTTTTAGCAGTAGTACCCTGGTTCACTGTAAAATGCATGGGCAAGTGTTGGCCACGTGTGAACAGGTTCTCGTTCAACTTGCCTGGCCTACGACAATTCCAAAACCACGTGATGCCAATTGGCAAAGACAATTGTCTTGCCAACTGGCATCGTGTAAACCCGGCTTAAGTGCGACTGCCACCCGAGCGGTGGTAGCGGCGGCCGCGGGAAACTCATTTTTTCGGCAAATTCCAGTCTGACTATTCTCTATAAGGATTTCGCTTCTTAAAGGGTTTGTATTAATTGGTACAACTGACCAAACTAAAAAAAAGGAAAACCAGTGACAAGATCTGTACAACCTAATGTGCTATACAATTGGGTTGTGAATACAATTTTTATGGGCATAGTAGCCGTCTGTAAGAGAGTCCTTCTTGGATCATGCTTATTGTCATCCGGACCAAACAAGAGAGAGCATACTATTGTAGTTGTTTCTAAATTTTTTCTACACATCAGTAATCATTGTTTTAATGAAGTGTTGAGGTAAGATTCATCCAGTTTTTTGAATCTTTGTAATAGTAGGTGTTTTCAAATTGTTCATAGTTAAGTTGCATCAGATATATTTTTAATGTATTCTTAACTTTGCTGTTTTACCATGAAAACTATTTTTTTTGTTTTAAATATAATTATTTTTACAAACTAAATTAGATTTTTTTTCTCCCACTTTCTTGGTAGTGCCCTTTCCTTTTAAATTGTTATACTATACACATTGCAAAGGTAAAGTTGACATTCTGTATGAAATTCCTTTAATCTATATATTAATACGCAAGCAGTTTTCTTTTCACAGTCATAACTCAATAACGGCTTGACGGATTTTAACGTTTGAGGTGTCAAATTAAAGGTATTTTCACGTAGATGTGCAAATGCGTCTCAGAATATTAAGAAAGGACATCACTTAACCCTCCGAGTGTCCATAGTTTAGGCCTTAATGTCCACCTATTTTTGGCCCCTTTGCAAGGTTTTATTAAAACGGATCTGAGAAGCTTAAAACAATGTTAATTCTAATGTTCTATATACCATTTTGTTTGGAAAATCATGGGCTTCAATATTATATATAAAACATAAGGAACATTTTTTCAAAAAAAAAATTTTTAGGTAAAAAAAAATATAATTTCGAAAATTAAAAAAAAAAAAATAAGTTCGCGCTCAATGAAATTGTATAAATTATAGGCCTATAAATATTTGAAAATAGCCACTTTGTTCTAAATTTAATGAGGATTACAAATATATAATCATATAGCGAGGTAAGTTATCAAATAAATAAGTTATGAGCGAAAAACGGATTTCAGTACATAGCGTTTAGCTAAGAATGCATAGCCTAACCATAGCTAGGAATCTGGCTGATAATTTACATCAATATCACTACCTACTTCTTCAGGATCATCAACCAGCACTTCAAAACCACTTAAATCTTCTTATAATGCACCACGTATATCACTACTTTTGATTTTTAACACTAAAACAATGATAAACGTAATAAAACACATCAGTCATCGGTCCGGGGGAACCTAGCTGTTTACAAATACACGCACGTCAGCTGTCTGCTACAATATTTTCGGAACTAAAATGAATAGCGCTTAGAGACAGACCTCTGGAGAAAGCTTAGAATATTACGGAAAGAACGATACCTAACTCGATCCAGTTCAATCCGATTCAGTCAGTCATAGAGCCTTCGCCGTAAACGATGTTTGTGCGTCTTAAAAGCGACGCGTGACCCTACACAAAGTGTGTTGTGCGTCGTTTTTATGACGCGTGACACTCGGAGGGTTAAGTACAGTTTAGGGCTAAAGTTTGGGAATGGTGGCGCTATCTGTTGACATTAGATCAAACCATCAAACTCAATTCCCTTTGTTTACAACTAATCATATGGACGTAGTTTGAAGCAAAACCACGCTTTCAAACTCAATTCTTTGACAATGGACCAGGGTTTTTCCGTTGTTCCGTTGTGTCAGCGGTAATTGGTTCTCTGTTAGGACGTCGGGTTCGTAATGTTGTCTTCTCCGGGGATGCGTGGTCTCCACAGCATCCCGGCAGTTTGATTGATGGCCAACTTTTTGAAAGCGTTATCACTTTGGCCAGTTTTTTTTTTTCAGTAATAATCCTGATAAGTATAACACAGAGCCAAATTGTTATTGAGCTCAATAATATTTCATCTTGGATTGAACTTGCTTATAAAACACTATTAAACAACAAATTAACCACGTTCCCTTTTTTTAGCGAATTTCCCATATAGGGAATAAGCTATTACCGTAGTACTCATGGTAAGACCAGGGACCGATTTACTTTTTCGTTTTGAGGTCCCTAGAGGCCAAAAACACCATCCGTTCAAATTCATATGTATATATATTTATATATTATATGTGTCCGTTAGCGCGATAACTCGAGCAAAAATGATCCGATTTTGATGAAATTTGGTATAAACGTGTAAACCTACATTTATTCGAACGAGTTTGCGAACCAGCATGATCGGACTATGGGAACGGGGATTTATGGGGTAAAAATAGGTTTTTCCTATTTTTGTCCCTAAAAACAGAAAATTTTACAATTTATTTCCAAACCATTTTGTAGAGCTTAAAAAAAACAAATAATTTTGTATATTGAACGTTGTTGATGCGCCTAATGGTTACAGAGAAAATTCCAAAAAATTTTAAATTAAAAATTCCCATGTTATTCTTATGGAGAATAAGTCAACTGTTGTAGTTTGCTTGTTTATGAACATATTTTGATCGAATTTGGAAAATACTTTCATTTCATACTAAACTATTAACATTTTACAAAAAATACTTTTACCCTCCCTGTTGCAGCAAACCTAAGTACTTGTTAAACTAATTCTATTTAAATAGGAAATAAATGTGATATTTTTATGGAGGCATTTTAGTGTAAATCCAAACAGGTTAACGGAAATTCACTTAGTCTGCAGGTTTGCTGTGGCGGGGTTATTTCCTTTTCTTAGATCCTTCTAGGGCTTTTAGAAAAACAATCTGTAATAGCTATATAATTTATTTTACAAACTTAACTATTGCTATGGCTACATATGTACAGAAGGTTTAAAGTGATTGATGGCATTGATCGTCCAGTCGTCTTGCACTCCCTTAGTGAACTCTCGGATGAAACGGTAGTTGAGGACAAAGATTTTATCACTGAACTCTGGCTGAACCCCGATGTTTATTGGTATCTCAGTGCCTGACTCTCGTAGCTCTCTCAGTCCAAGCAACGCGTGATAGCACATTGTTATCTCCACGAATCTGCTTTGGTTTTCGCCTTCATTTTCTGTAAAATTATAACTATGAAATAATTGGCCTACGTTGAACAAATTTTTAACTTTGATCACTAAAAAGCACTCGTTTATTAAATTCTGAGTTAGAAGCAACAATATTTAGATACAAGACATTATGTTAGGGTAGGGACATAGCTAACACAGAGTAAAGGTACCTGACCCTACTTAGTTAGCTCTATTTCATTGTTATAATTAACTTTGAACTTGTAAAGGATTCTAATAAATTTCTAAGTGAATTTATCAATAAAGTGGGATAATAGATAAATATATGCCGATGCTTGATGGCAAATCTTTGCGTGCATGACTTCAAATTGAGACCTCAATCATGAAAATCGGTCGGGTAGAAGAGCTAAACAAACTCAGTGAAGAAAAACCAAATTTACTTCCATAAGAAATACATGGGGAGCAAATATTGTTAGTGAGTCGGTGGCTCAGTCGGTAGCGTCACGGACTTCGGGCCCAAGGCAGTAGTGTCGTGGGTTCGGATCCTGGTCACTGCCGATAACATTTTATCAGTACAGTTCACCTTTGTACTGTACCGGCTCACTCCTTGCTTTGCTGTAAACGATCCACGCACGGGCGCTTAGTCTATGTGGACGGGCAAATGCAAGGTTAAAAGAGGCCGCCAACCTCTTTTTTTTAAATAAAAGAAAGAAGAAATTGTTTACGTACAAACCAAGTGAGACTATAGTTAATTATATACCGATACTTGATGGCAAATCTGTGCGTGCATACCTTCAATTTGAGACCTCAATCATGAAAATCAATCAAGTAAAAGAGCCAAACGAACTCGGAAAAGAAAAACCAATTTTTTTTAAATATGTAAGACTAGCAGAGTACCCGGCCTTTGTACGGGGTTGGCATAAAAGTATACAAAATGCTTAATGCAGTTATACTTGGCTTTGCGTTTGCAATGGGAGAGGACACGGTTTAAGAAAATTTGGTTCTTTTAATTTACGTTATGCTGTAGTATAACACATCTATCATAGCCTTAATTTTCTACCACTGCACCTAAACAATAGAAAAAAGTAAAGTTCTCATTCTATATCACAGCTTTTTGTTGCTAGTTGGTTCAAATTAGCTGTTGTCATAAATACAAAAATATTAATAGTGCTGCACCCTGTTGGTAAACCTTATAACTTTTTAATGCTATTTAACATCATAGTACCAACTTCTGTAATTTTGAAACAGCTGACAAAATGATTTAGTTCCTTTTAAATATGAATTAGTGGTCGAAAACTCGACAAAAAATATGTAATGAAGCCTAGGCGCATTGACTATTGGATACTGAAGTAGACATCAAATCTATATGGACCAGCTGTCGTTATTTTTTAATTAAAAAACGTGTAGTTGTGTGAGCCAGTCACAGAATGTTTGTCTAAAATTATATTTTCTACCTAATTTTTTGTTGCTGACAAAGTTGATGGGTCATAACAATTGCTATAGCTCATAATAAGTCATTCCGTTTGACTTGGTAAAAGACATCGTGTATTCACAGAAATCAGTGCAATCTATTGGCGGCTCACATCAACTACGACACATTCAATTAAATTGGCAACAACTTAAATTTTGTATGGTTATATTGGGTATGGAATGTCTAGTTGTAATTCAAAGGTACAAGCTTCTCTATTTTCACCCCACACTGTAAATAAAACATGTGATTGTAACACAAACGTTGTTGATTGTCATGTTGATTGTGATTCTATTGGTTTGATTTTCTGTTTATATTTCGTAACCAGCATGGCAACCCATAAAGCCCATGTTAATTTTTTTTTAATTTAAAATTCATTTTTCGTGCTTATCTTTGAGCCTATTTTAATTTTTAAAGGGATTCTGCACAACTACAGGATAATAGCTTTCTAACGGTATGCGTAGATTTTCCCTGCGATGCACACAAGCTGAGAAAAAAGGTTTTAAAGAAACATGCTTGCCTATTAATATATAGATAGATAGATACTCATAAGGTTAACATGGGGAACTTCAGAGCCATTGGGGTGGAGCCCGAAAGGATTTTTGAGATAAGAATATGTCTATATGTTAATCGGGAATGTGAGCTATCACCATACCAAATGTCAGCCCAATCCAACCAGTAGTTAATGCATGATTGATATAAAAAATGGACCAAAATAGTATAAAATAAAATATGTTTTTAATACACTACAATTAATTATGAAATAAAATTTTTAGAACGAATGGTATTTTTCTTGGGTAATGAAATTACCTACAGTAGACTCCCTCTAGTTCGGCTTCGGTTGGATCGGCCGCCGGATGGTCCGGCCCGGTCTCAGGGGGACAAGTCATATCGTCATGGGCGAATGACCTTTGACAGGATTCAACTTGAATGTTTAGTT